AGGACAGCAATTGCTGCAGAGATTGAAAAAAAAACTTATAAATTAAACGGAAAAAGGAAATTTCAAACTACATACAACGGATATCAAACAATTTGTGATTTTGTTCAATATTGATGATGTAAATGACGGCTAAAGTAGTCACTTCATGACAGAATTCTCTTTATTAAACTACAATTAAAAATTGAAAAAAAAGCATTAAATAAAATCTAATGCAATTTATTTTTGGATTTCAGTTACGAGTAGAAAAGAAGGTTAAGTGTTTAAATGGTATTTATTATTAAACTTAATAATAGTTTTGCTAAACTTTTAGTTATTATTATGAGTACAAAAATAAACAAAATATTTCGTTTTATAGAATTTAACTGGAATTTAAACTCGTTTGTATTAATGGTTATTAGGGTTTTATTCAATTTAATTTCATTGTTTGTGTGTTTGCTTTTTTTAATTTAATACAATTTTTGTTGTTGTTTCTCATATTCAAAATTTGTTGAATTTAGTTACTTGTATTATGTCTTACTATTTGTTCTATGTAAATCTAAGTATTAAAACATACAAAATTGTACGTGTAGATTTTTTATGTTAAAACCACATACAAAAACAAAGTTTAAACAAATATTTTGGAAGCATATATTTGAATGTTATAAATGCTGGTTTACTTTAGGAGTGTCCAAACTTAAAAATTTTGTTTGAATTTATTTTCAAAACCCATGAATTATTTAAAAATTACTAAGCACCTGAGCCACCGACTGCTCAGGTGTCTAGCTATTTTAACATGTGCTTATCCTACGAGGAAGTCAATCGTCGAAGAGGCAGACACATAAAGCTTAAGTTTGTCTATAGCCTGGTCTATAGTCTAGTCTAGTCTATAGTCTAGTCTATAGTCTAGTCTATAGTCTAGTCTATAGTCTAGTCTATAGTCTAGTCTAGTCTATAGTCTAGTCTATAGTCTAGTCTATAGTCTAGTCTATAGTCTAGTCTATAGTCTAGTCTATAGTCGAGTCTATAGTCTAGTCTATAGTCTAGTCTATAGTCTTGTATATAGTCTAGTCTATAGTCTAGTCTATAGTTTAGTCTATAGTCTAGTCTATAGTCTAGTCTATAGTCTAGTCTATAGTCTAGTCTATAGTCTAGTCTATAGTCTAGTCTATAGTCTAGTCTATAGTCTAGTCTATAGTCTAGTCTATAGTCTAGTCTATAGTCTAGTCTATAGTCTATCTATAGTCTAGTCTATAGTCTAGTCTATAGTCTAGTCTATAGTCTAGTCTATAGTCTAGTCTATAGTCTAGTCTATAGTCTAGTCTATAGTCTAGTCTATAGTCTAGTCTATAGTCTAGTCTATAGTCTAGTCTATAGTCTAGTCTATAGTCTAGTCTATAGTCTAGTCTATCTAGTCTATAGTCTAGTCTTAGTCTAGTCTATAGTCTAGTCTATAGTCTAGTCTATAGTCTAGTCTATAGTCTAGTCTATAGTCTAGGTCTATAGTCTAGTCTATAGTCTAGTCTATAGTCTAGTCTATAGTCTAGTCTATAGTCTAGTCTATAGTCTAGTCTATAGTCTAGTCTATAGTCTAGTCTATAGTCTAGTCTATAGTCTAGTCTATAGTCTAGTCTATAGTCTAGTCTATAGTCTAGTCTATAGTCTAGTCTATAGTCTAGTCTATAGTCTAGTCTATAGTCTAGTCTATAGTCTAGTCTATAGTCTAGTCTATAGTCTAGTCTATAGTCTAGTCTATAGTCTAGTCTATAGTCTAGTCTATAGTCTAGTCTATAGTCTAGTCTATAGTCTAGTCTATAGTCTAGTCTATAGTCTAGTCTATAGTCTAGTCTATAGTCTAGTCTATAGTCTAGTCTATAGTCTAGTCTATAGTCTAGTCTATAGTCTAGTCTATAGTCTAGTCTATAGTCTAGTCTATAGTCTAGTCTATAGTCTAGTCTATAGTCTAGTCTATAGTCTAGTCTATAGTCTAGTCTATAGTCTAGTCTATAGTCTAGTCTATAGTCTAGTCTATAGTCTAGTCTATAGTCTAGTCTATAGTCTAGTCTATAGCTAGTCTATAGTCTAGCTATAGCCTAGTCTATAGTCTAGTCTATAGTCAAGTGTATAGTCTAGTGTATAGTCTAGTCTATTGTCTAGTCTATAGTCTAGTCTATAGTCTAGTCTATAGTCTAGTCTATAGTCTAGTCTATAGTCTAGTCTATAGTCTAGTCTAGTCTATAGTCTAGTCTATAGTCTAGTCTATAATCTAGTCTATAGTCTAGTCTATAGTCTAGTCTATAGTCTAGTCTATAGTCTAGTCTATAGTCTAGTCTATAGTCTAGTCTATAGTCTAGTCTATAGTCTAGTCTATAGTCTAGTCTATAGTCTAGTCTATAGTCTAGTCTATAGTCTAGTCTATAGTCTAGTCTATAGTCTAGTCTATAGTCTAGTCTATAGTCTAGTCTATAGTGTAGTCTATAGTCTAGTCTATAGTCTAGTGTATAGTCTAGTCTATAGTCTAGTCTATAGTCTAGTCTATAGTCTAGTCTATAGTCTAGTCTATAGTCTAGTCTATAGTCTAGTCTATAGTCTAGTCTATAGTCTAGTCTATAGTCTAGTCTATAGTCTAGTCTATAGTCTATAGTCTAGTCTATAGTCTAGTCTATAGTCAAGTGTATAGTCTAGTCTACAGTCTAGTCTGTAGTCTAGTCTATAGTCTACTCTATAGTCTAGTCTATAGTTTAGTCAATATTCTACTCTACAGTCTAGTCTATAGTCTAGGAAATAGTCTCGTCTATTGTCTAGTCTATACTCTAGTCTTTTCTCTAGTCTATAGTCTAGTCTATATTCTGGTCTGTAGTCTAGTCTATGCTCTAGTCTATTCTCTAGTCTATAGTCTAGTCTATTCTCTAGTATATATTATTGTCTAGTCTATAGTGTAGTGTGTAGTCTAATCTATAGTCTAATCCATAGTCTAAAATCTCCTTTCGACTCAATGATGTCTGCAGTATCCTTCAAGCTGAAATATCAGCGATAAAGAGGGTGTCGAGTTGGCTAAGGAATGTTGCTAACACCTTAGCTTAGCGGACTGGAAATAGATCATTTCAGTGGTATTCCATTTCTTGTAATAAAGAGTTAGGTTATTGAAAAGTGCTACTCTATTGCTCATGACCGATGGTCGCGTGAACATGAGTGCTCAATAGATCCATGCAGGTATAAATATCTCCTTGGTCTCCAAAGACCACAGCTAGGTAAGCTAGTATCGATTGTTACTGGCCACTGTAAATTTGAAAACCATGCTAGATGCATTAGTCAATGATTTCTGTACAGATTTTTTCTCAGTATCTTATCGGCGATCTATCCGAATATCCAATTCTTTTGGCGTTCATAGATTTGTCAGAATGGGTTGAACTTCGGTATTCTCACTAATTAGGGTCCAAATTATGGCATACGATATCGATCGAAATCTCCATTTACATTCTCTTGAGATTTCGATCGATATCGTATTGCATTTCTAATTTAAATTTTTAACACAATTCGAACGAACATTTTAACCAAATATGTTTCCTAAGGTCATAAAAATGTTTTTATTTTTATTGAAAAACCAAATAATAACAGTTTAAATCATGAAAAAAATCAAATTACAAAAATTATTTTTTTATATAAACAAAATAAATTGATCATTTAAATAGAAGTTATTAAAAGTTATTTTTAAAACTTTTATTGCAGTTGTTTTGGTCAATCAACAAATTATTATCTACAACATGTCCATTGTAATATTTATGGCAATTATATGGAAATTTTAAATTATTTTTCATAAAAATCATAAACATTTTATATTTGTTGAAGCAAATTGACAATTTTTATTCTATTTTTATTGGTTGATGTTTCCTTTTTCCTTGATACTTATCAAATTTACTCGAATTGAATAACAGTTTTTGCAATTTATTGTCATTTGATATTAAATCAAAATAATTTTTTTTATAATGTTTATAAAACGATAATACAATGAATTCTTAAAATACTGAAGCTATTTATGCGTCTTTTGCTAATTCTGATCTGAACTAAAAATATTAAACACACTAACTACTACGTCATTCACTATTATGTACTACTACCTAACTACTATTGCTACCAACTATTAAATTAATAACGACTTCTTTGAAATAAATAAGCGAACATCTCTTTTTATTACCAAATGCCAATTTCTTTAAATTAAATACTTAAAAAAGACATAAAATTCTTAGAAATTATAAAACATAAAATTTTTGTAAAAAGTAGCTTAATAATACATGTATCGAAATAGTAAACTAAACACAAATACATATAAATACCTACTCCCCACCTTTAGAATCTTTCAAGTACTTAAAATCTTTAAGTACATTTACGTTTTATGGATAAACTTCATCAAAGCGAACACAAACACAAGTACCCACATATGAGTTTGAAATGATCCATAATAAAACAAGTAAGAAAGTTATAGTCGGTCAAGCCCGACCATATAATACCCTACACCACAGTTTATTTCACGGAATAATTAGTTTCATTCTAAATTTTTAATAAATTAAGAAGTACTTAAGCCCTCCCGCCACGCCACGGCTTATTCCAAGGGAGAGTAAATATGGTATTTCACATATTCGATGTCTGTAAATAAATAAGCAATTGTTGAACTTTGTCGTTTCTAAGTTATTAGAAAGAAAAGTAAATTCAATTTGAAATACATAAATATATTCGAAATATGTTTATAATTTCTATAAATTCATTTGCTTATGTATATCATCCATATTATAACATGATCGTAAATACCGTTTTACGAAATACATATATAATTATTGTGGACGAAAATATTAATTATTACTTACTTTAAAATAATTGAGACAGATCAAATATTTAAAATAATAACATAATTAATAAATTAATTTTTACATATTTTAATAAATTTTTATTTATTTATAAATCTACATAAGTAAATATATACAATTATTTTCAGAATTTTTAAAACATATGAAAATATTATTTATAATCTACCTTAATATGCTAACACATATTGCGTCATGGTAACTATGGATAGTTTCATATGTTTTAGCACTAATCGTGCTTTCGTCTAAATTTGAAAAACACCAATCAATTTGTGTTGCACTTTTTGTAGTGCTCGTCGAATTTAGAGAGTTAAAACCTTTATCCCTTAGTTGTCTTTCTAACTCGCTGCAACTGTTTCTTCGGCAAATATTTAAATCTCCAATTATAATGGATTTGTCATTAAAATAGTTACTTTGGGAAAACAACTCGTTTAACTCTCTAATTACAGATCCAGCAGGGTAGTTTTTATTTCTATACAAAACGGTAATGTTAAAATCCTGGCACTTAAATATAATAAATTCGAATGTTTTATTTGCAATGTGAGCTTGTTTACTATAGCAATATTGTATAGAATTTGCAAGTTCATTTTTCACGTAAACGATAATTCCACGTTTGCATCGTCTATTTGCGTTTTCATTTGAATCTAATCGCATTCTAGGTAAAATGCTAAAACCAGGAATATCATAGTTTTCATGACTTAAAGTCCAAGTCTCAACAAAACAAAGGATATCCGACTGCAACATCAACTTATCACAACGAACATCTTCAATATGAGCATGTAAGCTTTGAACATTATGATAAGTTATATTTAATCTTCTATCAATCAAAAAATCAAAATTTGTTGTTAGTTTTTTACTATTTTGAAGATTATTCATCTCCATTTGGACTAAGTCATTATTTGTCACTTTAGGTAAATTAGATGGGAACTTTCCAATTAAATAAAGTCCCGAAGCACTTTTTGCTCGACTACATGCAACATATAAAGCAGAGCGTTTCATGCCTGATTTTAAATGAACAGCTACGCTTTCATATGTTGCTCCTTGGCTTTTATGGATAGTTATACCTTCAGCTGGTACAACTGGAAACTGTTTACGGTCAATGTTCACATTTTCGTTCCGTTTATATTGGAAGGACCGTACTAACATTTCTATAGGTGTCCATAAAGCTTCATTTGGATGTCGTCTTTGTAACCGAGCCAAAACACCAATAGAAGTATCAGAAAATTTAATCCACAATGTAAATGGTTTGTGATTGTTATCAAAGTCAATTTGCATGAGTTGCCCTGTTGCTCCATTGACTAAGCCATCACTAGTGTTAATATTTACTGTAACCATATACTTTGCAGTTGTCTTTAATTTCAAATCATACCGAAGTCCTTGTGTCTCGGATGTTTTGAAAACTTTAACATTTTCCAAAATACTAGCTCTATTTTCTCTGGATAATCCCACTGATTTTACTTGGTCATCGGCATAAGAAATTGATTCTTCTGTAGTTATACTATTGAGTTTAATAGCATTCCAGTTATCAACTTCAGCATTTGTGCATAGTAAATGTATTGCTTCGGCTGGAACATTTGACTCAAGAACTTCCCGCGATTTCATCAAAGAGACGTCTTGTTCAGACATTTTTCCGCAAGCCATATTATTAAGAGCTCTTGCAAATGCTTGATCTTCTCTCTGACGCATTATTTCATTTAGTTCAAAATATTTAAACATGTCCCATAATGTAGACCCATATATAACACTATAAGGATCATTTGATGGTGCAGAAAATATCCAACTATCTCCTACAGGCGGAAGTTGCCTCAAATCCCCAAACACTACCAGAGAAATTCCTCCAAATGGTGCAGTCGATTTAAATACTTGCTTCAGTCTTGCGTCGAGATACCTGAGCATTTTTGATCCTACCATAGATATTTCATCTATGATTAGGAGCTTTAAGTTTAAAAATTTTGAATACAAAGCATTAGCTGTATCACTGCTTAAAGGTCTAAGCTCTGCCGCAGACTGATTTATTGGCAGTGAAAACATTGAATGAAGTGTAGCTCCACCAATGCCAAATGCTGCCTTTCCAGTAGGTGCACAAAGCAATACTTTTATCAAACTGGGATCCGTACCAGGAATAAAATTTAGTCTGTAATTTAAAGATTGATATATAGCAGATATTAATCTACTTTTACCGACTCCAGCACCACCTCCAACAAATTCGTAAAATGAATGTCCCAATTTAATGTTATGTAACAAATGGGATAAATAAAGCTTTTGTTTATTGTTCAATGATCTCACCATTGTTAACAAATCGTTTTCTGGTATAAGTGGCGGAAGTTTAATCAAACGAATACAACCTTCCGAAGATTCCTCAGTTGGTTCGTTTTCGGGTATGTTAAGAACATTAATATCTGGATTTATTTCAGGTACACCCAGAACTCTAAACTCGTTATCAATAGCTGTATTATCATTATCTTCGTTGCCATTACTGTCGGATTCGGTTTCATGCCTTAGATTTTCAAGAACGTTTTGAAGTTCCCTTTCTTCAAAAACATCATACCTTTTCCGGTTTGATTCAATGGAATCCTTGTGAATACTACAAAAGCCTTCGTTATCATTTTGCAAAATATCGATTTCTTCATTTCGCCAGGGATGGTATAACATTACCAATTCTCTAAAGTAATCACTTCGATGAGTATTTGCATTATAATGCCTATATCTGATAACATTTGGCTTCGTTTTCTTTTTGATGAATCCGCTATTATCTTTTAATCTCAGAAATCTTCCAGATAACTCGTTTTCTTCGTGGTCTTCGTGCTCATTATAAGTTTCATCATTTTGTATATTTCTTGCGGTTCGTGAAAACTTATAAAAAGCTGCAAAATCTGCCAAGCACAGTGAATCTAACTCATCAGGTCTCTGAACGTAATGGTCCAAAAGACTTGTTACGTACACATCTGTAGAGTCTGGTGGCAAGTTTTGTAGCTGATCGCGTGACCTTAGAATCAATACTCGTTCTTCGGGTCTACCTGTATTTATATATATATCCGCATTACTGCTTTCCGAAAGGTGCATTCCCAAACAACAATAAGTTGCTTCTTGTGCAGAAATTTCAGTTCCTGAAATAAACTTATGTCCAATATGTTGAAGTTTTTGCTTAATAGAAAAATTCCCTCCTCTAATTTCATCAACTGCTTCGCGTAAAATTCTGGAAATTCCCCGATTGGATTTGTTAATATAATTAACAATATAGCTGCAACATGCATATGCATCCAATATAAATTGAATATCCATATTTGCTCTATGCAATGGCAGTATTGTGGGATTATACGCGTTTAGCATTTTGTCCTCGAACCTTCTACGTAAAAAAATTCTAGGCTTCTTAAGAGATGAACGCAAAGCCAATTTGTATTCCTCATATGACATATTAATGTGAGCACTGTTTAAGAAGCATTCAAAGTCATTTAAATTGGATATTTCTTCACCACTTAAATTAGAATTTAGAAGGCTTTGAATTTTGGCATATAAATCCTTATATTGATCTATACATTCAAAGCTTTCTGGAAGAGGAGTAAGAATCTCCGTTTGAGGCATTGGTGGATATGGAATACCATACCGGCAAATTCTTTCTCCCCTATATTCCCTAGTACAAGACCGATTATGGTTGTGTTTTTGATAATCAATATATTGGGCAACACATGGATCGCTACCATTTGTGCTTATATATTTGTCAATAAACGCAACTACGGCGGGAAAAGTAGACTGATCGTTAAGGTCAATTTTTGGAGCATCTTTTAACCAATACATACCATGGATATGTGGAGATCCTCTCTGCTGAAACTCAACTCTCCAGTAATATTTTTCCACGGGATGGTGATCAAAAACTCCATTACTCATCTTGAAAAGGGCAAAAAGTTGTCGAAACCTAAAATCAAAATAACGGGCACAAGTTATGGAATCACTGCGAATAAGTCTGGCCTTTTCGGCAAAAGTTAGGTTGTTAGCATCATCCTCAGTTATTTCAACATTATCAACCGTTTTTGATAAAATAACCAACAGTTCAATCCATTTTGTTTCTGCTGCAGAAAGTGTAATAAAAAAGGTAGGAAGGCCAAATTGTCGAATCATTGCCACTGCTTTCTTTTTTTCAGCTTCCCAGTGAGCTGGAGAAGATCGCACACCTTTTAAAATACGATATCCATCATCGTGTTGTATAAGGTTATTCATGAATGCATCGTTAAGGGCATTACCCGCCGTGACATTTGTCGATCTAACATGCTTGCGTAAAGCGATGGACATAGCACTCTTTATTGACAAAAGCTCAAGTTTTTTGTAACTGTAGAGTAGCTTATCTATTCTACAAGCTCGTCTGTCATATCTTCGTAATTCTGACCGAACAATTTTACTGTATGTTTCTGGACACGTTCTTTTCTTTCCTCCATAAATAGTAACGAATGCGAGTTCCTCGGAATCTTCATCCACTACCATATCAAGAGGACGCTGTCCCTCCCCAGGCGCAATAATTACTCTCTGCAGTGGAATATTTTCTACAGGAACATTATCAAGTAATGTTTGTTGGCCACCAGGATTCAGGTTTTCCATATCAAATTCATCAATATTGTTATCATTATTGCCGCTAATAGTCTGATGGTTGAAGATATTTCTAATAATATTTTCATCCCGTCGGTCAGCAAAAAATGGTACAACATTTTGTGAATCAAAACTACTAAACCAATTATCATCGATATGTATACCATGTTTGATATACAATTCGGTGGTAATCAAATACCTGGCGGCCTCAATTACTTTAGCTGGTCTAATTGTTTCAGTCATATAATCATGCTGATATTCAAGACGGCGCCTTAAATGAAGCTGAATTACATTAGCTTGGTCGAATGTTCTAGGAAGAGCTGTAACTGTTTCATTTACAGAAACAGGAACATTTACAACAGCACCCCGTATTGCGCTTTGTCTTTCAAATCCAAGGGCTATGATTATCATAAATGGAAGTCTGGCAGTTACAAGCCGTTCTTCGATAGACGTTAAGTCCTTGAGACAATCTGGTATCTCTGGATAATCAAGGCCATTTGATAGACGTATATTTGGCCTTCGTTTATTCTTTATTGACCTGCTACAGGTTTTGCAAAAAACAAAACTATTGTTTTCAGACGGAAACCTTTCGGAAAGACAAAAAACATCATTAATAAATTCTGTACTTACATTAATTCGATCCCGTGATAATTCATCTACCTGGTGTGGAAACCATAATCCTCCGCAACAGGTACATATTATGGTTGGTCCTTGCTTGATAGTATCGTTGTACCTGTTGAATCGTAACGTGTTGCGATTTATTGTAGTTAATCTTCGATTTTCCTCCACATCTTCCTCAGATAAATTCTCTCGCTGTGTTCTTATCCGTTCAGCCTGTCGATTGCGTTCCCTCTCTCTATTTAAATTAACATCTCTATGACGAAGAACTCTTTCGTTTCCACTACGTTGAATATCTTGTAGATTTTGTCGCTGTATCCTTCTTCTCAACTGCCTTTGTATGTTATTTTGTTGTTGTTCAATAGTTCTATATTGTAGATTTTGTCTTCGAAGGGAACGACGTAATGTATTAACTGCTTGTTCAGATGCACGATAATGTGGATCATTACGCCTTGTATGATGACTAAGCGTATCACGCTGCTGCTCCGATTGGCGATATTCAGAATCAGCTCGTCTGAGTTGATGTTCGGCTGTATTCCGAGTCTGCTCCTCTTCTCGGTACTCTGCAATAGAACGTCTTACTTGATGTTCGACAGTATTACGGAATTGTTCTTCTATTCTGTATATGGGATCACTGCGTCTACTCCGATGGCTAAGCGTATCACGCAACTGTTCCACTTGCCGATATTCAGAATCAGCCCGTCGCAGTTGATGTTCGACTGTATTTCGAGTTTGCTCCTCTTCTCGATAAGTTGGATCAGAACGTCTTACATGATGTTCGATTGTATTACGGAATTGTTCTCCGGTCCTATAGGTGGGATCACTGCGTCTACTCTGATGACTAAGCATATCACGCAACTGTTCCACTTGCCGATATTCAGAATCAGCCCGTCGTACTTGATGTTCGGCTGTATTTCGAGTTTGCTCCTCTTCTCGATAAGCTGGATCAGAACGCCTTTCATGATGTTCGAATGTATTACGGAGTTGTTCTCCGGTCCTATATACGGGATCACTGCGTCTATTCTGATGGCTAAGCGTATCACGCAACTGCTCCGCTTGCCGATATTCAGAATCAGCCCTTCGAACTTGATGTTCGGCTGTATTTCGAGTTTGCTCCTCTTCTCGATAAGTTGGATCAGTTCGTCGAACTTGATGTTCGGCTGTATTTCGAGTTTGCTCCTCTTCTCTATATGCTGCGACAGAACGTCTAACTTGGTGTTCCCGAGTGTTTCTAGTTTGTTCTTGCAGTCGGAATACAGGATCTAACCTACGGTTATACCGCCATTCTGTATTATATGACCGCTGTGAGCTCGAAATTGAGTGCGATCTTCTCTGAATCGGAGAATTCGCCACAGCATGCAAACTATTATCATTTGGTTCTTCAACTACTCTCAATTGTCGGAGTCTATTTCTAATAAGCCGCCGACGATGTTCTGCACTTTGTCTTCGTGTTCTTGGCAT